ATACAAATATGAGAATCAAGCACATTTAGTAGGCTGCTAGGCTTTTTCCAACAAGTATTAGGTTCACCTCTGAAAAGTTATAAACGTGTAAATAAAATTCAAGGAAAGAATGGAACCTATCAGCTAGAACAATGACAAAACGTACCACACATTACTAACTAACATCGAACAGGACAGTAATACACTTTACAGACATATTCAGTGTCATACCTCACCCAGAACGACATCTAGGCACCACGTCTCAGGACACACCAATAACAAAATTTATTACCAGTACTTTAATGAAAATCACTGTGCAAAACCAACATAAACATGCTGCTCCACTAACACACACACACAGCCTCTGAGTGTGGAGAATCTATTCGTTTAAAGTGCTGTCAGTTTGAAGAAGCTCTGGTTAACCTAACATTAACCTCCCACCAGGGTCCAAAGAGCTCTGAGCGCGTAAAGCTTATGCTGAAGGTTTAAAATGTACGATAATTATCATCACTCAAGTCCCTGTCCCTCTTAAAATCCTGAGGGAAATCTTCATTTGGTAAAAACACACCGACAATCCACGTCTACCAAGGCCTACAAAATAAAAACTGGAGCAAACACTTCCTTGAAGATTTCCACAATACACCCTGTGGCAGGAACAGACTGCGAGAGGAAATCTTTACAACCCCTGCAGAATCTTCATTTGTGTGCATTTTAAGTTTTCCTTCACAGGCTTAAAGAAACACTTGAAAGGACTAGAAAACGCACAGCCTTTACTGGAGTATTAATCACCGAAGCAAGGTAACCTGTCTGATATAGCAATAACGTGTGCGCACACAATCTACGCCGACCGCAGAATTACTAACTAGGATAACAAAATTGTTTGACGGAGACAAACGATAGGGGATCCCAAAACTCCAGAGCTCCGCAATTCCTCGGCCCGGCTCCCCGCTCGCCGCCTGAGGCGGGCGGGACGTGGCGGTCGCGCCGGCTCCGCCATGTGGCGGCAGCAGGAACACCGCGGCCCCGAGCCGGGCGGGGAAAATGGCGCCCGGGAGCAGCCGCCGCTTCCAAGGACAGGGCTGCAAAGCGCTTCCAGCGTGCAGCTACACACCCGGCACCAGGAAGACCTCTCCGGCGCTCCTTCCCGCCCCCGCGGATACCGAACGACTACAGCTTCCCCCACCGCCTCGCCCGCTCTCCCGTAGCGACCCCCCCAGCCCCTGGCAGCTGCGATCCTCGGCCAGGCCGCCATTTTACCCCTCCCCCTCGGCACCGCCATTACCCACTGCACCGCCCCGGCCGCTCCGCACCTCGCGAGGCCAAGGCGGCCCCCGGCCCGCCCACCGACCGACCCCCGGAGTCCCGCGTCCCCTTCCTCCGACGACATTCCAGGGCAGCGCGGCCACTGCTTAAGAATGCGCTGTTCACCATGCGCGGTTATCTCAGCCTCCGCTGCCTTGCCCAGCTGCGCGTCAGCCCCAGCCGCCCCTTCCAGAACCTTCCTCCGCGCAGACACCCAGCGCCCGGCCCGCGGTGCGACCCGGCGGCGGCGCCAAGACCCGCGCAGACAAAGACTCAAGCCTGCTAGTAATGCCCAGCCCCGGAAAAATTCACTCCTCCCGCAGAAGCAAATGCGCCTCCCTCCTTAAAAACAAACTCTGAATCCTCCCTTCCTACGTACCATGTTCTTCATGGTTTACGTATTCCTGCTCGAGAGTACCGTACAACCGGTCGGTAATGGCTGCCTGAACTGTTACGTAATTTGAAATTCAGCTCCGCGTAGAGCTAGCGCCCTCCTTCTTCAGCCCGGGCTCGCTTCCGATATTATGGATTAATTAATTAAAAAAAAAAAGGTAGAATCTGGAGCTTAAATGTCTCCAGAGGGGCGGCAGTTCTGTATAACGCCCCTACGTGTTTTTATCGCGCAATGAAAAGTCATCGACTCCGTTAGTAATGGCCGTCTCCGGAATGAGCCGAAGCAGCCGTCGTCGTCGAGCTTATGCGCTTCGACAGCCGCCGGAAAGAGCCGAACAGGGAACGGAAGCCCATTCGGCTCACTTCGGCAATTTCCGGAACCTGCCGAAGCAGGCAAAAATGGCGCTCGGCGCCCGCTCGGCAATTTCCGGAAAGAGAGACGCAGCCAGTTATCGACTGCCCCGGCCCGCTCGGCAATTTCCGACAACGGAACAGGCTCGCGAGACGTGCTCGAGCAGAGCCGAAGCGGCCCCGACCACCGCTGGCACCGTGTCACGGCTGGTTTTTGGGTTTTTTATTTATTTTATTTTTCTGGAAATTGCCGAGCGGACCCGAAGGCTCAAAGCTCGGGTTATAATTAGCCGGGGCGGCTCCGCATTGCCCCTCTATACGCGTGGTACTGGCAGGGAGCGGGCGGGCGCACCGTACCCCCGAAATATCGCTCTGGCCCCTGCCCCTTCCCCCTCCACCCGGGCAGGAGGAAATGCGAACTACACATTTTGGCACCAGCGCCGACACATCGCAGGGCCCCGGCGGAGGGAGGCGGACTCCGCCGCAGCCCGCTCCGCTCTACCCCTCACCGCCGGTATCGGGCACACTGCCTGCTCTCCTCCCCTCCTTCATCCCCTCCCTCCATCTCCCTCTGGCGGCCCCGCACACACCGCAGCAGAGGGTGAGTGCTGCCGCCCGGCGCGCGAGAGAAATGGCGCTGGAAAGGCTCCTTTCTTCCCGCCCCCTCTGCTCCCCCTCCCCCTCAGCTCCACCGCGGATCCACCCGCGGCTCCTCCGCCCGCAGAGAAGCCTCCCCATCTGGCTCCCCGACCCTTTTTTCTACTTATGAATGAGTTTTGGAGCCCCATAGCCCCGCTGCTTTCCGAACCCGCTTCCCCACCCCCGCCCCTCGCTTAGGGCCGGGCCTCCCCAGCTCAACGCGGGAAATGGCCGCGCTCCACACGGGCCCCTCCAGACGAGCGAGGCCCTCGCTCCGCGGCGGGGGGCGGCTCCGGTCCGGCGCGGACTCCCGGCGGCGGCCATCATGGCGGCCGGGGTCCGCAGGCCCGCTCTGCTCCCCCCACCTCACCCAGTCGCTTTCCCTGTCGCCGCGAGGCATCTTCCTTCTTTTGGACGCCTGGCGCGGTCCTGCGCTCGCCCCGCGTTGGAGAGACGTCTTGGCCCCCCTCCTGTGCCGGCGGCGACGACGGTCGGAGGTTGTAGCGGCTCGCGCGTAGGCGGTGGCGGCGTCGTGCGCTCTGCCCCGTCACAGCCGCCGGCGCGCAGTGCTCGCCCAGCCCAGCCCAGCCCCGCCAGCCGCCGCCGCGCTGCTCCCCGCCCTCCCTCCTTCCCTCCCTGCCCCCACCCGCTGCCTCAGCCCCCCGCGGATGTCGCTGTTGCTGCCGCCGCCGCTCAGTGCGCGCAGGGCGGGAGCGAGGAGGAGACGGGAGACCCAAGCGGCTGGGCGCCATTGAAGTCTGTATCCTTCTCTCTCTCTCCCTATTTTCTCTCGCTGCAGCCGCCTCCTTCCACCCCACCCGCTCCCGAGTCCTCTTCCCTGATTCCTCTTCCCTCTACGGCTTGCTGCGGGCCGTCGCGGGGAGATGCGGAGCGCAGCCCACCCACCTCCACCCCCGCTTCCTTGGCGGTGGGGGGTGGCGGGCGGAGCGGGGCTGCCGGGGGGTCGCGGCCCCGGCGCCCGCTCGGCGAGGGAGAGAGAGAAGGAGGGAGGAAGGGAGGGAGGCCCCCGGAGCCGCGGGCGCTGCCGCCGCGGGGAAGGAGGGCAGCGCCGGGGGCGGGGGCAGCGGCACCAGCGCGGCAGACAAAGCCGGCCCGCGGCCGTCCCTGTGTCCCTGCCGGGCCCGGGAGAAACGTGGCGGGGCGGGGGCAAGGGGACGGCGTGGAAGGGGCCCCGGGGGCGGGGGCGGGAGCGGCCCAGGGCCCCCTCTCCCGGCCCCGTTACCTCGCCCGGGGCGGCCCCGCCGGCCTCATGTTCGCCCGCCACAGGCCCGAGGCGCAGCCGCCCCCAGCAGGCCTCCGCAGGGCTGCCTGTTTTCTGACGGAGGATTTGTTACTGGTTTTGTTGGGGGGTTTTCCCCTTTCTCCTGCCTTTCAAGAGGGGGACACAAGGCAAGAGTCTTCGCGCTGGGGCCCTGGCCCCTGCCCTTCTCCCACCTCGCCTACCCCACCGCCTATGTGGCTGCCAAAATCCACTCCCCTGTCAAGGGGAGGATTGGGCGGGATTACTGAGTCCGGGAGGTATTCTGGCCTTGAAGGACTTTTCTCTTTTGCCTTGCCCAGGCAAATGGGGAATTCTAACAGTTCTATAGCTCGCAGTGGGGTGGGGACAATACATGCCTAAGGATCTGGTCGGTATGAGAAATGACATGGAAAAGGGAATGAATTGCGTTCAACATCATTTGCGTAGCTTAATTATGTAGTATGTATGGCTTAGCTGAGTTAATATTGCTCTAGGACCTTAACTCTTGCAAACGTGAGAATTAGAAGGCAACGTTATAGTTGCATTAAGATAAATATTTGCTGTTTATAAGCATTTGCTACCATGTAAGAGTAGTGGGTGATTCATTACACCACAGATATGTAGCTGTTCCCCACCAGATTCGCAGTTAATATACCTGAGGTATATCTCCAACTGCTAGAATCTGAAATCCTGTTCTGTTGGGTTTAAGGAAATAAGCATCCCTGATGGTCCTCCCCCTTTTCCCTAGAAACATCTCTAAGCCTTTGAAGGCCTTGGGAAAAACCTTTTTTAACCCTATCTACCACCTTGTCAGTATCATTTATCCTGGCTAGTGTAATGGTGCGTAACTGCGTTATGCCAGACAAAGTAATAACCTACTTTTTGTTCTGGATTTAATCCGTATAAGAAATGTTATATGCAGTGAATACATGGGGGTTGGAACAAGGACCATGTTTGTCTTGGGATGCCTTTCTTCGAGTTATGCAAACTTCCTTTTAATTGTCATGCATTTTTCTAGTAAAAGCTCTGCAAGTCTGCAATAAAAATGGCCTCCAATAAAACTACATTGGTAAGTTCATGCACACCTAAAGTATATAAGGATTTAATCAACATATTTTTCTTCAAACCTATAACTTGGCATCTCCATTTAAAAGATACATCCACATCTCCCCTCCCCAGCATTATTCTGACCAAAATTTCAGATCCAGAAAGTAAGGCTACTAGAAAGGACATTGGCTTTAATAAATCTGCCATTTCTAAAGAGACATGTTGGGAAAAAAAAAAGTGTGAAAGGACTCTGTACTATTTCATCTGTCCTACGGTAGAAAATACTAAGGATTTTTTTAGCTTCCTTTCAGCACACCATGTAATTCATCATACATGTAAAAAATAAAATTGAAGTCATGTACTGATTTAATTTCTCCCAGTGTATTTAGAGAAAACTAATTGCCTGAGAAAAGGCAGTTTTTACAGATGAAAAGTAATATTATTGAGAAATGATGTGGCATAGTTAAGATGCCTTTTGAAATGATTTTTAACAAATAACAGTTTCTTTGAATTTCATAGGAGCAGAGATTATCAGATGTCAACCCTTCCTGGACCATTTTAATGATGCATTCATGGATCTCAAGTCCTGTAAAGCTTTGCTTGACATTAAAATATGGACTTCTAAGGGCAGTTGGTTGCTGGTTACCATTCAACTAATGATGATATATAGTTTTGTGAAAAACAGAACTTAAAAAGTATAGTGTGAGATACATCTGAGTTTGAGATGGGGAAGTAAGCAAAAAATATACGTGCACAATTCAAAATTTGGATAGCAGAACAACTGCTTTATAATAAACTCAAAAGACCTGTTCTTAAATTTACTGAAATGATTACTAGTTCACTCAGCTTGAGTTATATTAAAAACTTGTATTAACTCCTGGCTTAGAGGTGCAATGGCGTGCTTCCTCTATGTTGTATGATAACAAGCTATTTTAAAAGATTTCACCAAGGTGAAAGTCTGAACTTTCTGTTTGTAATTGATTGACCACTTATCCCTAACTTGAGGAAGAGAAGAGTTAGCCAGCCTGGGGGGAGGGTGCCTCAGAGAGAGGAAAAAATCTATGAATGCAGAATTTTTAATCTTTCAATGTTGTTAAGAATTTTGCTGCACAGGTCAGGAAAATCAGTTATGGTTCCCATGGGAACCGTAACTAATTCTGCTTCATTATGTATTTGCATGCAAAACCTAAATGTATTAGGGGATAGGGTAGCCCTAGAGCTGTAATTCTGATTTTCTTACCTCTTGTATGTTAAAACCGTACACCACAGTGTCACTTCAGTGTTTTAACCTTGCCCCTAAAAGAAAGAGTGGTTAGCCATAGCTCTGCATCTGTCACATGTGACTTCTGAATGCAGAAAGGGAAACAAGCCATAGAAAAGCCTTCAGTGTCAAGTGCCTAAGTTACAGCTTATATCATGCAACCACAGAGAAGGGAGATTCAGGGGCCTAGTGGACATTTAGTACCCTTTAACTTCAGTCAGATATCACATTCACATGTGGGCTGAGATTTGCATGGGCATGTATAATCTCAGAATGTACAGCTTTTTTAACATGTTCAGTATTTCTGCAGGCTCTGCAACCAAGTATTATTTTAATAAGTTCAAGACTTTGGAGATTAGTGCTGATGCACGAGACCCAATTAAATCTTTAATACTAAAAGCAGCATAGTCTTGATTTTGTTATTTCTTATTGCACTTCAAGAAAAAAATACAGACCCCCCATGACATTAATTTTCTTCTGTGGAAGATACTTAATATACTTAAGTCTTAGAAAGTAAAAAAAAAAATTGTTGCTTTGATACAGAAATCCAAAACATTGATCTTTAAGTGACAAGAATTAGTGAAGCCGAAAAGAGTACCAGAAAACAATCTTCCATTGAATCAAAGAATTTTAGTCCAACGGAGAATACAGATGGAGATGTTCCCCACTTGTAGCCTGCTTGCCTCATCACCAGTAATTATAATGTTATTACTATGGTATAGTGAGTCTGTCTTTTACTGTGTTGTTGTTTTTTCCTCTGCTTCTTTTATTGTTTGTTTCTTTTCCTCATCTCTACCCCTTTCTCTTTTTCACATTTCCATTTCTTGAAAGAAGCTGCCTTCATAGAAGCATTGGACATCTTCATGTTTTATTTCCTTTCAATTTCAGTCTTGCATTCTTTTTCCTGTGGAGGCAAAAAAAAAGCCAGTGTGCTTAAGTTGACACTTTTCAGACATGAATGCTGTGGTCAAAATACACCTGGGATATGCAGGCAGTTAAAATCTAATTGGAAATACATACTCTGTTCTAGATAATCTCTCTTCTATGCTTCCAAATCAAAACAATTGCCATGCAAGGTATAATCTATACAGAAACTTCTTGTTTCAATAAGAAACTAGAAACTTTTTCTCCTCTTTGTCGTTTGCACCTTCAATTTATGGGCTGCTAACCCAGAGTAAAGCTATTTTGGAGAGAGAGGGAGGGAGGGAAAAAATTAATTATGAAAAATAAAGGGTACGAAGACAGGGCTTTGGCAAGATAATCATCTTCAAATCTTCAGTTTACAAAAATGAGACAATTTTTTTGTGTCTAACATACTTTTTTTTTTTTACCTTTCACCACATCAAGATAAAATTCTATGAAGTCTAAAAAATTGAAAATTCCCAAATTGCAATATTCTCAAACTAACCCACATCAGTTATAGAGAGGAATAGAGACAGGCCATCAAGCAAATAAAGGTGCTTTGTGGTTTTTGCTTGTCTGCTTTCTGTTGTATAGAAAGTGCTTTAGTTCTCTCCTCTTTGATTTAGGGTGCTGCATGACTATATGTTTTAAGAGCTTAAAAGTTTATGGCTGCCGCTTTAACCATTTCCTTATAAGGTGTGGTCCAAAATGGCAAGCAGAATGATTTTGGTCTGCCAGTCCTCCAGAAATGTGACACAACATGATAGGCTTGTTCCAACCTTTTTGAGATTACAAACAAGGGAATTCTGAAATGTGTCCTTCTACTACGATTTGATTGTGCCTTATTAAACTGGGAATGCCTTGAGGATGATGTGGATGTAATATTTATTTTAAGAACTTAATATTGTTCGAAACAGCAAATGTAAACTTGAAACACGGTTTTTTAAGTTAGCAACATTTCATTAATGTGTTAACAGCTGTACTTAAGGATAGCAATCTTAAATTTATGCACCTTTGTGACACATCTTTGTAACTTACATAGGTGCGTGGAAGAAACAGCAGTAATGGAATGCTCCTAGCATGTGTCCTGTTCAGTAGTTACGGGTTATTGTTGAGTATTTTGCTTATTGTAGCACTACGCTATAAACTTCGCTGCCATCAGTTTCTCCTTGGTTTTTTGGAACAGGTAGTAACCACCTTTTTTTGAGTACCATCTCTTTTCTATTTTATGCATTTTCACAGTTCTCTTATTTCTTTTCTTTATTTCTGCCTTGCCCTCTGCCTTTTCACAGGCATAGAGTTAAATTTTAGAAGCTTCATATTTTTTTGAGCATGTAGGACTGAGAATTAAATTTATAAGGGGAGTATAGTCACTGAGTATGTGGACAAAAAATTTAATCTTTTTAAAAACTGCTGTTGGGTATCTCATTAAGCAGCTGAAAAAAAACCCAAAACATTAATATGTCTTGCTCAGGTTACCTGACCACATGCACTAACGTAAAAGGAGTCTGAGCTTCTGGCTTTAGTGTTAATAAGTACATGATTCGTTGCTGTTTACTGAGCAAAGTTGGATTTGGCCAGTGAAGTAACCGTATAAAGCAAAAGAATTAATAATGCCGTTCTGAATTTCTTTTGTAGCACAAAATGGGAAAGAAACAGAATGGCAAAGGTAAAAAAGTTGAAGAGGCAGAGTCTGAAGAATTTGTTGTAGAGAAGGTCCTCGACAGACGTGTTCAAAATGGAAAGGTGGAATACTTCTTGAAGTGGAAAGGATTTACAGAGTAAGGCATTTCCTTTTTTTTTTTTCCTGATAGAATGATAAACACGAACCATTTATTTGAGATAACTGTACAGAGAGGAGATTGGGTGATGGGGATCCACTTTAAAGAACCTTGAGGGAAGGACATCCGTAAATGCATATTCAGGTGGGACAGTCAAGTCTGAAAATAAAATAGAAGATAATGTAGCTCAGTGTTTGTGCTACATAAAATAGTCGAGGACTTTAACCAGGTCCTTAGTGATTGTTCTCTGATATAGGTTCTGTGAATATCTATCAAGGTAAGCTAGAATGACAGTTGTTACATATGTAGTGGAATGAATGTTACTTCTGAGTAAGAAATTATGCAGGGATTTAAACTGCAGGCAGCTCTGAAGCAATGAATTTGAAGTAGATAGTTTGCTTATTATTAATTTTCCTGAACTGCTCTCAAATTAGCAAATTTGCCTAAGGAATTCTGTGGCATGGTTGCCTTTTTGAGTGTCTTGCCCAGGACTTACATGATAAAGTTGATTGTTTAAGAAGGAATGCAGTTGTGCCTCTTCTCTCCTTCCAGTGACACTTCATGGCAGCTTGCTTTACTAGCTGAGAAAAGGCAATGCACCCAACATTTGAGCATAAGTGGTTACATATGCAGTGATTAATTTTTGTTGCATACCTCTCAAAATTATTGCATTGCAACATTGTGCTCTCTAGCACCTGAAATGCGTGTGGTGATTAATATATAAATGCAAACACGTGTTTCGTAATTGAGGGTCTTATTTGAACTGGTTACAGTAATGGAAAAAAAATGTATTAAAAGTCGATATCCTGCTTGTGCAGTAGCACTGTGGCAGTATGTGTGCGTGAGTACTTCTGATGAGGTGCTTAGTTGTTGCAGGAACTTGTTAAAATTTTAGTTAACAAAATGCACGCTCACTGAAACGTGCAGTGCCGAGCTCTGCCCACCTTTGTTCCCTCCTGTAGTCAACGGAAGGAGGAAGATAGTTCCAGGTGTAGTTGTGCTTACTTCTCAGAGACTTCAGAGAGTGTTCCTGGTATCTGGAAGCTTATATATATATATATATATTTAAGCTGTTTGTAACAAGTGTTGTGTACACCTTGTTCCCTGTGAGTGCGTCTTTAGTGCTTGTATCATATGGTTTGTTTGCGTGGACAGTCTTTAGAGGAACCACAGAAGCAAGTCAGTGTAAATGGGCAGATAGGTTTTCGTAGGGTGGGAATTGCTTGTTTTAACTCTGATGATCCCACTGAGAACAAAGCACAATAAGCAGCTCTATTAACTCCTATCTTTTCTTTAAGAACATTGTTTTTCAACACTGAGCATACACCTTCTAGTCATCAATTGTAGTACATGAAGGCTACTAAAGATGGCACAATAAACATCCTTAGGGTTACATAAACACCCTTAGAGTTTAAGAAACCTACCTTATATAATGAGACAAAATTCACTTGCTTAAATTAAGAGGAGCCATGCGGTTAGTTTTACATAAATGTGTGTATGTTTCAGTGCTGACAACACATGGGAACCTGAAGAGAACTTAGATTGTCCAGAGCTAATTGAAGCTTTTTTGAACTCTCAGAAAGCTGGTAAAGAAAAAACAGACGGTGCCAAAAGAAAATCTTTGTCAGATAGCGAATCTGATGATAGTAAATCAAAGAAAAAACGTGATTCTGTAAGTATATGTTCATGTGCTAAGCTTTTTTCCCCCTACATTTCTTCCCTATCTCTCCATCCCCCAAAAAATCTATTGTGACTTTGAGAATGAGACTGAACACTGATTTAAAAGTATCTGGAACTGTGGTTTGAAAAGGATATACATTCATTGTGGTTAATGAGACTATCCAAATGGTAAGTAAAAGATGATTGAGTGACATGATGATTAAAAGTTCTTGCGTTGTCCCATGACACTTACTGAATAATTGAAAATAAGTCTGGTTAAGAGTTATTAATTAATGGTGTTAAGTGATCAGTTTGTATTAGAGCAAAAGGTCCAAGATGTTTGGCTTTCGTATTTAGCATGATTTTGAATAGGTGAGTCACAAGATGGCAAAATGTGAAGACCAGTCAGTTACTTACATCGGGACCAGACGTGATGGTGGAGAGGGAGTAGAAAGCATGACTGCAGAAAGCCTACTTTTTCTGAAAGTGGGGATTTTTTCTGCGATACAAATGAGTGAACAACATGACACATTTAGTGCTGCTAAGTACAAAATAATGCACTTGTAGTAAGGCATTCCGATAGTTTACATTTTCGTCCGTAAACTTTCAGATTAGCAGTTTGAAACCACTGGTATTGGCAACCATTTTCATGTATGAAGACAAGTCTTAGACGTGTGGTTACTGTCAAAAGGATTGGAAAGTATCAGAAGAAATAGTTGATGAATAGTACAATGAGTATTTTACTTTCTGTATGGAGTCAGTTGTGTGGCTTCATCTGGTACAGGAGTGGCCACTGTCTCTAAAAGGGTATTGTGAACCTCTAAAGGAGCTAATACAGGAAATAGTTGTGATATTTCTTGTCACCAGTGTGGTCTCAGCGAGCCAAGAAGAGTGGAGGTGTTCCCCAAGAGTTTTGCTGTTGGTTTAAACCAACCTAAACCTGTTATTTTGCTGAAAAGCATGCGGTTTTCCCACTTCCAGGCATGCATTTTTGCTTTGCCGCTTTTGTTACTTTTACTGACCATGCTTGTTTGTTTATCTGCTATGATGATTTTAGAACACTTTTTTCATCTATTGTGTTTTCATAAATAAATGCTGGAAACATGGATGTAAAATTCTTTCATTGTTACGACCCTAAATGACTTGGCCTGAAGATTGGTCATGAAAAAATCAGTGTCTTATTCTGACAATAATATGTAATTATAGATTTGATGGTTTTTTAAGACTGTATTTTTTTGTTCTGATACACACATACATATATGTATGTACAAAAATGTATGCATCTAGCAGCAAAATGGAATTTCATCTTAAACTAGATAACTGTATTCTAACTTAATCAATAGGTTGATAAACCAAGAGGGTTTGCAAGGGGTCTTGCTCCTGAGCGGATAATTGGGGCTACGGATAGCAGTGGAGAGCTTATGTTCCTCATGAAATGGTAAGTCTTACATCCACAGTTCTTACCCATGTTACAAGAGGGCAGCAGTTGCACTTAGGCTCATGAGACAACTTCATTGCAAGAGTAAGACAGAGAAGCTGGTGGTCTCCTAATTAGTCTTGTATTCTTAGAAAAGCAAGCCTTCTATATTCATTTAGTACTTAATCCCTCTTCCTTCAAAACCCAAAATATCTTTCATTTCAGTTAATTTAGTTTTACAGAAGTAGAAATTTGAAAGGTAATTTCTCATAAAATAAGGGAAAATTGGCATTTGTATGGAAAAACTGAATCTTGGCAATGCTCTTGCTGAGGAAATGGCAGGAAGGAATACAGCTTTATATGTTTCAATAAGCAGAAGCCAGCTGCTGGATAGCCAACCATAGTGCCAACTATTCTGCATGCAGCAAACTGGAACTGGAAGCGAGTAGTGGAGGAAGCAGAGGTGGAGATGAAAAATAAACAATATGGAGAGGCTTGCCATTATGGGCTAGTAAGAGGGTACAGTGATGTGGGGAGTTTGTGTTGTTGGGAGGATAGGTAACATAGTGCTGACAGAAGGATTTCTTGAACAAATGGGATAAAATTAGTACTTTCTAGCAGTTGAGAAGACATTGAATTGACACTTGCTAGGGGTCAGATCTCTTTAAGTGATGGGATAAGAAGGATAGCTTTCCACAGCCTTTGAGAAGGATGTGATTTTCTGAATGGAGTCAAACTGAGTGGTCTCCAGAGACATGATTTGTCATGTGACATGCCTGGACTGCTGCAGTGCTTTAGGAGATTGTCTCCCTTCTGCCTTTCCAAATTTGCTATAAATTTTATGTGAAACTTAGAAGAGTTGCAAAACAAAGATTATGAGTGTTTGAATTTCTATAGTGATAATTGGCAAAATCAGACTCGGAGGACAAAAAGAATCTTTTTTTTGTTTAGTTCCATTGCAGTTGATTAGTTTTTCATAATTGGTCGTAGGTAACACGCATAGATATGACTATGTATGCACAAAGCCGACTCGTAAAGGCAGCATACACTTAAAAATGGAATCTGAAGCATGTCAGACTGGAAAGTTTGTTTTGTTACCCCAACACAGCATCAAGAATAGCAATATGAATACAAGAAGTTACTTGCATAAACAGTAAATATAATTTGGATGTAAGTACCACCTCTTAAGATTGGTGCTATTAATTTTTAAGTCTCACTTTGAAGTTTTGATTAGTCTTTAAAAGACAAAATTAACTAAGTTTTACTTGTTTCATTACATACTACAGTATGTAACCGTATAATTGGTACCCTTTGAAAAGCGTTTTCATTTCCAACAGAAAAAATACGGGAAGGGAAGGAAGATGGAGCTATGAAACCTTGTCATTACCATTAGTGTGGAAATTCTTGGTAGCTGTAGTGAAAGGTATACTGGAAACCAATTTCTAGCTGACATTCTTTTAAAACTTAGGACTTATCAAGAGCTGCTAAATATTTTGAAATAATGATTTTGCTTTTTCTTAAATCCCACTCTCTTCTACATCAGGAAAGGCTCTGATGAGGCAGATCTGGTGCTGGCCAAAGACGCTAACAAGGAGTGTCCTCAGATCGTAATCGCTTTTTATGAAGAACGACTAACTTGGCATTCATGCCCAGAAGATGAAGCACAATAATTGTTTGCATTGCTTTTTTTATATATAAGAATATTAAAACCTAAAGTTTGATTTATTAGCAATGTGAGAAGCATACATTCTAACCAGTTTCGAATTTGATATTTTTTTGAAGTAGTATGTTTTGCATCAACAGCAAGTAAATAAAAGCTTTCTGCAACTTGTTTCATTTATCACAAGAGAGCATTTGATACTACTACTTCCTCCATATTAGGTAAAAGCTTTTATAAAACATGGATGAATTTCCATAGTTATTACAGGATCATAATGAATGTCTAAACAAACTCACAGATGTTTTGTAGTCTTCTGTACTATTGATGTGCATGTATCTTCTTTACCCAAACCTAGCCCTTTAAACCCCTAGGGTCATTCTTTTTAGTATTTGGGATCGCTTGGTCTTCAGAAGACTAGGTGAAAACTAACTTTGTAGTAATTTGAATGTTATCAGACTTGTTATTATATTGTTACTTATATTGTTTACTTTATTGTAAATACTGGTGAACAGTGGTCAATAAAATAGTTTTATATTCTTCCTTTATACTGATAGGCTGTGACTCTTTTGAAGCAGTATATTTCCCAACTTTTGATATGTTAAACTCAGTTTGTAATATATTAATTGTAAGTTGTTTTTTGGGGAGTAGGTTGATTATTAATATTACGCCAATGCCACTCTCTAATTCCAGAAAAGTACCAGGCTTTGATTATTAATATTTTTATTTTGTGAATACTGCCTGAGATGTAGTTCTTTTCAGGCAGGAAAGGCACGTGAAATGAATGTGCTTTGGGTACTTGTGTAAGTCATGGATAGCAACCATACGGGTTAGGTATGGCAGTTGGTCCCAAGGCCAAGTGACCTCTGCAGGTATACTAGGAAATATTTGATGTGTATTGACAGCATTAGCCTTTGCTTTAATTTCAGGTCTTAATAGGAGGCAATATTGTCGCTAGTGCTGGTTCAGGAGGAATTATTCTTCAGGCCATTACCTGAAGAATACTTACGTAGCTCAACCCTTAAAATGGAATATTTAAATGAAGATACTTAAGTCATGTTACTTGGAACAAAAGATGTAGTTTCTGTTTCTGTTTGGATTTTAAAATTAGTCCTATAATCAGCTGCTTGGAGAATGCCTTCAGAAGAGCAGAAGTAAAGGGTGGGGAACTCGGGGGGGAAGTTGCCTTTTACCATTCTTTCTCCAGTTGCCATTCATCTTTTCAGTTGCTCTCATCTACACACCTTCTTTTATTTGTGTTTTGACTACCATGGTATAGTTTGCCTTGAGCTGTGCCTCTATATGTCCATGACCAAGATTGTTTCAGAATTATCCTTAATTTAGAGTTTTGACTAAAAAATATAATCCCATAATACACTGTCAGGGTCATAGAATCATAGAATGGTTTGTGACCTCAAGGATAATCTAGTTCCAACACCCCTGCTATGGGCAGGGACACCTTCCACTAGACCAGGTTGCTCCAAGCCCCATCCATCCTCGCCTTGAACACTTCCAGGGATGGAACAGCCACAACTTCTCTGGGCAACCTATGCCAGTGCCTTATCAGCTTAACAATAAAGAATTTCTTGCTATAATCTCTCATCTTACCTACTCTCTTTCAGTTTGAAGCGATTCTCCCTTTTCCTGTCACTATATGCCTTTGTAAAGTCTCTCTCCAGACTTCTTGTAGGCCTTGTTTAGGTCCTGGAAGGTGCTCTAAGGTCTTGCTGGAGCCTTCTCGTCTCCAGGCTGAACCCTGACTCTCTCAGAATGTCTTCACAAGAGAGATGTTACAGCCCTGTGACCAACTTAGTGGCCCTTCTCAAAGGTGATACAGTTGATGTTTCCCAAGTATCTTTTTTTAGAAGATTAAAAAAAGATGGGTGGTCCTGGAAACCCTCATGGTGTGCTGAGGAGTAAATGAAGGAATTCAGCCTGTGCTTGAAGTTCTTTCGATACTGTTTCACAAAATATTATTATAACTGTAGTTTCAAAAACAATTTATATTGTTGTCTGAGTTTAATGAGACTGAAGTGTTTGCTAAGGAGGATGAGTTATGAGGAAGACCAAGCTCCTCCCTCCAAGCAGTTGTAAATCTGAAATTAAGAGGCTCCGATTGAGGAAATATGGAGAAAGAAAAAGATAACAGCCCTTTATTAAAGGATATATGTGTATTGGCAGAGCAACAAAAGAACACAAAAACAATAGTTTTGCATCCAGAGTTCCCTACAAACCTTTAAACTAGGTTTGAAGGGGGAAGAGGTTGAAACTGGGCTCTCCAGAAAGGAGCCCAAGGGTGGACAGCCCAAGTTAAGAGCCAATCAGGAGCCCTAGGGTGGACAACCCAAGTTAAGAGCCAAATCAGGAGCCCAGCTGAAGTGCATGTACGCCAATGCACACAGCATGGGTAACAAATAAGAGGAGCTGGAAGCCATTGTGCAGCAGGAAAGCTATGATGTGGTCGCTATCACGGAAACGTAGTGGGATGACTCGCATGACTGGAGTGCTACCATGGGTAGCTCTCCAGGCTCTTCAGAAGGGACAGGCAGGGTAGGAGAGGTGGAGGAGTGGCTCTATATGTTAAGAGTCTCTTGACTCTGTAGAAGTTGAAGTCAGTAACAATTAGGTTGAGTGCCTGTGGATCAGAATCGGGGGAAGGCCAAGGAGTCTGGTATCCTGGTGGGAGTCTGTTACAGACCACCCAATCAGGATGATGAGGGTGATGAATTATTCTACAAGCAGCTGACAGATGTCTCAAAATCGCCCTTGTTCTCGTGGGTGACTTTAACTGTCGCGGTCCAAAGAGGGGACAGGACACGAGGAAGGGTGCAAGCAGACTTGTTTATTCAGGCGTGTACCCGATTCTTAACCGTCCCACCAGGGAAAGGGGGCAGAACATCGGGTGGGCTATCAGACAGACAAATGGGGGAGCAAATCAGAACAGGGCACAGGCAAAAGGGGGAGGAGGAAGCCTGGGCATGTGCAGTTGTGCACTGTGTAGCATGAATACAGTGAAACCACATAATAACAGTAAAGTCCATATGAAAGTCCTGCCAATTGCTGTATGCTTTTCTCCATGCCTGGAACTGTTCCCATCCTGAATCTTGCTTCTCTACATTTAACCTGCCAGATGTCTGCTGGGAACTGCACACAGTGGAGAAGAGGCAGTCTAGGAGATTGCTAGAGTGTATAGAGGATAATTTCCTGCTCCAGCTGGTAAATGAGCCTACCAGGGATCGAGCCCCGCTAGACCTCCTGTTCACAAACAGAGAGGGGCTGGTGGGAGATGTGGTGGTCAGTGGATGTCTGGGACACAGTGATCATGAAATAATAGAATTTTCAATACTCAGGGATGCAAGGAGGGCTGTCAATAAAACCTCTACGTTGGACTTCCGGAGGGCAGATTTTGGCCTATTCAGAAGACTAGTCCAGAGTGTGCCCTGGGAAACAGCCCTTGAAAACAAAGGGGTCCAGGAGGGATGGACGTACTTCAAGAAGCAAGTTTTGAAAGCACAGGAGCAGGCTGTCCCACTGTGCCGAAAGGCGAGCTGGCGGGGAAGACAACCGGCCTGGCTGAACAGGGAGATTTTGAAAGAAATTAGGGTAAAGAAGAGAGCCTACCGATTATGGAAAAAAGGGCTGACCACTCAAGAAGAATTTAGGAATATAGTTAGGTCGTGTAGAAAGAAAATTAGAGGGACAAAGGCACAACTTGAACTGAATCTCACCATCTCTGTGAAGGATAACAAAAAGTCCTACAGATACATCAACAGTCCTACAGCAAAAGGAGGGGCAAGGAAAACCTCCACTCTTTACTGGACATGGGCGGGAATATAGTTATCAAAGATGAGGAAAAGGCTGAGGTATTTAACACCTTCTTTGTCTCAGTTTTCAACAGTAAGACAGGTTGTCCTGAGGACAGCTGGCTTCTGGAGCTTGTAGAAAGAGACAAGAATCTGAACAGCCCCCCTGTAATCCAGAAGGAAACAGTTAGTGACCTACTGAGCTGCTTGGATTCCCACAAGTCTATGGGACCAGATGGGATCCACCAAAGGGTGATGAGGAGCTGGCGGAAGAGCTTGCCAAGCCACTGTCCATCATCTACCAACAGTCCTGACTCACTGGGGAGGTCCCAGATGATTGGAAGTTGGCAAATGTCACGCTAATCCACAAAAAGGGCCGGAAGTAGGACCCGGGAAACTACAGGCCCGTCAGCCTGAGCTCAGTGCCTGGCAAGGTTATGGAGCAGATCATCCTCAGTGCAATCACACAGCACCTACAGGATGGACAAGGGATCAGACCCAGCCAGCATAGGTTTAGGAGGGGCAGGTCCTGTCTGACCAACCTGATCTCCTTTAATGATCAGGTGACCCGCCTGGTGGATGAGGGGAAGGCTGTGGATGTGTCTACCTGGACTTCAGCAAAGCCTTTGACACCATCTCCCATAGCATACTCCTGGAAAAGCTGGCAGCCCACGGCTTGGACAGGGACACTGTGCTGGGTTAGGAACTGGCTGGAGGGCTGGGCCCAGAGAGTGGTGGAGAACGGTGCTGCATCCAGTTGGTGTCCCCCAGGGATCAGTGTTGGGCCCAGTCCTGTTTAATATCTTTATTGATGATTTAGATGAGGGGATTGAGTCCATCATCAGCAAATTTGCAGGTGACACTAAGCTGGGGGGGAGTATCGATCAGCTGGAAGGCAGGAGGGCTCTGCAGAGGGACCTGGATAGGTTGGAGAGTTGGGCTGATTCCAAAGGGATGAGGTTCAACAAGACCAAGTGCCGGGTCCTCCACTTTGGCCACAACAACCCCATGCAGCGCTACAGGCTGTGAACAGAGTGGCTGTAGAGCAGGCAGACAGAGAGGGACCTGGGAGTTTGGATTGACAGGAAGCTGAACATGAGCCAGCAGTGTGCCCAGGTGGCCAAGAAGGCCAATGGCATCCTGGCCTGGATCAGGAACAGTGTGGCCAGCGGGTCCAAGGAAGTGATTCTTCCCCTGTACTCAGTGCTGGTGAGGCCACACCTGGAGTGCTGTGTCCAGTTCTGGGCCCCTCAGTTCAGGAAGGATATTGAGGTGCTGGAGCAGGTCCAGAGGAGGGCAACGAGGCTGGTGAAGGGACTCGAGCACAAGTCCTATGAGGAGAGGCTAAGAATGCTGGGGCTGTTCAGCCTGAAGAAGAGGAGGCTCAGGGGAGACCTCATCACTCTCTACAACTACCTAAAAGGAGGTTGTAGGCAGGTGGGGGTTGGTCTCTTTTCCCAGGCAACTATCAGCAAGACAAGAGGGCATGGTCTCAAGTTGTGCCAGAGGAGGTTTAGGTTAGATATTAGAAAGAATTTCTTTACAGAGGGGGTGGTCAGACATTGGAATGGGCTGCCCAGGGATAGTGGATTGTAGTGGATTCTCCGTCCCTGGAGATTTTTAAAAAGAGACTGGATGTGGCACTTAGTGCCATGGTCTAGTAACCGCAGTGGTAGTGGATCAAGGGTTGGACCTGATGATCTTGAAGGTCCCTTCCAACCCAGCTGATTCTATGATTCTATGAT